ATAACTTTAAAATTACTTTATAAATAGACAGTTTTCTTAAGTGTAACTCTATTTTTTTCTATACTTAAAAATATATTACTTTCCTTTTAAATCTCGTAACAGTTAATAAGTGAGTGTATTCAAATTAATATAACTCTAATATTACTTTTACAAAATAATAATTTGAGGTGTGAAAACATTATTTTTTTAAAAATGAAAAAGAAAACACATATGTCCGAATTAAAAAAAAAAAACACACACATGAGTGAAAATTAAAAACAAAAACTTCATGAAAAAAAAAAACTGAAAAATAACCCTCAAAACCGCCTATTAAATATTGAATATTGACTCATCAATCTGTCCGAATAATCGCTGGTTTCTCGAACAGCGTGTCGTTTTCCGTTCCCGCCCACTTCACTCTCTCTCTCTCTCTCCACCATGGGAAACTCCTCCAAGGATAATTCCGCCAACTCCGGCGACGCATCTCCCGCCGACGTTCCTCCCTCCGATTCAAGCACTTACTCCGAGGGCGAGAAAGTCCTCGCATATCACGGTCCCCGCATCTACGAAGCAAAGGTACTTCTCATTTTTCCCCTTCTAATCATTTTTTTCTCCAATTATCATTTCCAATATTTTCTTCTCTCAATTTTCTCTCATTGTTAATACTTCTTTCGAATTCACCAATTCCGTGTTTGTAAAGAAATTCAACTTCTGCAGTTACTAACTGTCAGTAACCGTTCCGGACTTCGCTTTTTCTGTTTTAGGGATTCGGTTCAGTGTTTCCGAGTTTGCATTTTTATTTGTCTGTTAAAATTGTTAAAATTTGTTGAAATTGTTATTTCTACTTACTTTGACTGAAATTGTTACAATTTTTTTTCTTCTTTTAATGTGTGATTGATTGAATGTTTGATTATAGGATTTGTAGATTCACTAGAGAAGGTTGGATCATAGTAAGATTTTGAGTTGAGAGTGTTTTTAAGGTTATTTTGATAAAGTTCTTATTCTGTGTATGTAAACCTAATACACATTAGAGATAAAGTGTATATATCTTGTGCTTACCCTGTGATTATATATGTTATTTGTGTGATTTATTCATCAGGTGCAAAAGGCGGAGATCAGAAAGAATGAATGGAGATACTTTGTTCACTACCTTGTAAGTTTAACCATGATATTTCCTTCCATATAGATCTTGTTTCACGGACTTAAGTTATTGTTCGGTTTCAGTTTGGAATATTTTAATCCAGTTTTTGCCTTCAAACTTGATTTGAAATGGAAGTAAATGGGAGGGTTGTTTATGCAAGCCTAGAGCCTGTTTACTTTGTTTTCTGTTTTCATTTTCTCTCTCAAGTATTAAACTTAACAAAATCTTTTCCTTATTATCCTTATTTACAGTTTTTGAGAACAGATCTAGAGTTTTAAAAAAAATTTGAAAATGCCAAAACATTATTTTTGAAAATGCTTTCTCAGTCTGCTTTCTGCTTTCTCTCTATCACAAGTATTCACTACATGAGTGATACATAAAATTTAGAAAATCATAACTGAAATTGTTCTCAGAAATTAAATGTGGTTGCAAAATGAAGTTTTTTCAAACTTAAGTATGTAAACTTCAATCAGATATGAAGTCATTTTTACCATTACCTCTATTTAATTCAACTTCTTAAACTAATGTTTATCTTGCTAGATTTGATAAAGTGATTCACTTGATAATTAATTCCGAAACTCTAAGTGATTACAGGATAGAGTATTGATTATGGGTTGCTTTATGCATTTTTTTTGCAGGGCTGGAATAAAAAGTGAGTTTCTTGTCATTTCCATTAGTTTATTTCATCAAGTAATAAAGGTACAAATGACCGGTTCTAATGATCTGCTCCAAACTTTCAGTTTACAATTTCTGAAAATACTTTAGTTGTTCTTGTGCATGCGACTCAAAATTGGTGTAAGCATTACCATTAAGTAAGCAGCAGAGTTAATACTTGACAAATTTCCAAAGGCAAATTCTAACGTTAAATGTCAATGGAAGTGGTGTGCAATTATTTGAACTTGTTTGACAATTAGTTTACATGGCCTTTGTAATGCTGATCTATAACTTTCTAGAGAGAATTGCCTTTATTGTTGTGGCTTATGTTGCCATAAATTTTTTGCATCAACTACATGTAAAAGGTTAAACTGTATATCTTCCAGTTTTTATTAATGAATTCATGTTCCTCATCTCTAATTCAATGACCAATTAAATGTTTGCATGATCTTTTAATATTATCATTGCTTTGATATATTTCCAACAGTTGGGACGAATGGGTAGGTGAGAGTCGTTTAATGAAACATACTGAAGCGAATGTTGTGAAACAGCATGCCTTAGACAAAAAGCAAGGTGTAGACAAGAATGTTAAATCTGGGCGTTCAACTCATGGAAAGGCCAAAAGTTCTACAGGTGAGAAATGCTCTCTTTCAAATGGAGATATTGTATTACAGTTTATTGTAGCTTTTAAATAACAAACTTCTATTCTGGCAAGGGGTTCAAAGTCTCCTAGTATGTGTTTGAAAATGTAAAAAGATTCTTTGTTAGTTCCTCTCTCTAGAATATTTGTGTTGTGCATTCAATTATCAAACCTCTCTTTACTAAGTGTCTTTCTTACATCTGATATGTATGAGTCACAGATGTGGGCACTTTAAGGCATTTATTTTCCATTTTAGTTTTTATTGGGGAGTTTGGTCTGACTGGGAGCTAACAAATCACCTTAGAATTTTTTTTGGAAGTGGGACCTTGCCATTAGTTCAATCCAACATTTTTTTCATCTTTTAAGTCACGAGCTTCATCTCAACTCAAAGGGCCTTTGTCAACTGTCCTCTGAAAAATTTGAACAATGTCTTTTTGAACAAGGTTGGTTTTATCAGGAAAAGGATTCTTCAAAGCATGAGATAACCAGATCTTGTCAGGGGCTTGGATGCAAAGTTCTGTTATATAACTAGAAACAATGTAGCATGTTTCGATAACACTCTAATATATGTTAGTTTCAAATTTAGCTACATCTGGGAAAAATTATGCTGTAACTACTTTTGCCTGGACCTAAGGTACTTTTGAAATTGTTTTAAAATATGCAGCAACCTTCTAACAGTATATTAGTATGCTTAAATTAATTTTTCATTCTTTTAAACACTTAACAATGTGTAGGTTTACAATTGCACTGGCACAGAATCCTTATTTTGATATGTTTCCTTATTCTGCCTTGCTAGCTCCATAATTTAACATTTTCTTTGGATTCTGTAGATGCCAAAGTGGATAAAGAAGACATCAAGAATAATGGTATTTACTAAATTTCATATTTTCAATTTCCTTTAAATTTCATTGAGTTATATATTTTTATATTTAGTTTGGCTATTTTCTTCTTGCTCATTAGGACCAAATATCTATTGCAAAATTTAGAACCATTTGATTAAAAGAGGCTTGAATTTTTTCTTTCTGGTTTTCTCTCTTTTTGATTTAATATCCTACTGAAAAAATTACCCACTTTGCTGGTTACCTGGTTGCTGTGCCTAATAGTCTAATATAGTATACCTATAACAATTCTTACCCATATATCTCTGAAAAGGCCAATAACCTCCATCTAATAAGTGGGCTATGGCAGCTTGTTAAGGAGACAAATCTTATTAGTTAAGAGAGCCTTTTTTCTATTGTTTAGCATTGTATATCACTAATTGTTGCCTTAAGCAAATTGTTGATGGCACATTTTATTCTCTTGAAGATGTCCTGTGATAACTTAGCTTCAACTTTTGTGATTGCAATTTTTAATTTTTTGGATTTGGTCTAATTCAATCCTACATAACTGGATTTTAAGGTGAAGGATGCTCTTCTTTATAAATTCTTTTTAGACCTATTTGAATCTTACGGTAACAATATCATTGCCGCCCTTTTTAATAAGCCCATCTGTATCAAAACTATTACTAGTTTTATATGATAAAAACTAGTACCCCTCTATTGGAAGCCATTATTGAACTTGTGGCTTGGCCTCCTGGCTGGAAAAGAGTACCATTTGGACTGCACTTGTTTCTCCTAGATGTTATTTAGGCTTGGGCCCTTGGCCAGGATGAAAAATCCATTCCAGCTAACCTGTACATAATTAATCATTTTGATTTATTGAATATAATTATATTTTCTTCATTTTTCAATATGAAATTTTCTTCTAAAATAAATTAAATTCATCTAGCTTCAAAACCGTATAAATTTTTCTCAGTTTTTGAAACTTATGTTTAAGCCGTGGGCCATTTCATCGACATTTATGCCTGGCAAAGGCTAGTGCAATGTGCTTTTGGGTGATAAAGCTCAACATAATAAGCAAATCTGTTAATCATTTTTCTTAATCCCTCCATTTAAACACACTAATTATTAATTAATAAATTGGACTTCAAATTTTCCTGTTTGAATGCAATGTCTTCATTGATTTGTTGATGTGAAAACAAATGTTTTTATTTCAGCTTGGATTCACTAATAATTTTAACATGTCAAACTGTGCAGTGTCAAAAGGAAAAAAACGAAAGAATGATTCAGGAATTGAGGTTTGGTTTATACCTTGTTTTAATTGTATTGTCCGTGTGTTCCTTATTTTAAAATCCGGAAGGTTTATAATTTTCATTGAATTTCTCTCCATATCATATAGTAATTGTTACCTATTTTCATTTCACATTTCCTTAAAAGTGCAAATACCTTCATTTTTGCCACAATCCTTTTAACTGCAAACGTTCTACTAAGTGTGATTTTCTAATTATTAGAAGGGCAGCGGGAATGTTGATAAGCTTTTTAAAATTCAAATCCCTGCACCGTTAAAGAAACAACTTGTTGATGACTGGGACTTTGTTAATCAGCAAGATAAGGTAAATGGAGACAATTAAGTTTACTCTATCCAGTTATTATTTTCTTGTGTATGTTTAGAACACAACTTTTAGGATTAGATTTTGATGTATGTTTCATGTATAAAGGTTACTGTACCTGATAGAGATGACCGTGGGTTAAGTTGTTTCTTTTCTACTTAAAATTGAAGTATACTTTTGTGCCTATACAATTTTACACGGACACAAAGCAATTTGAAATCATCTAACTGAATTATATTATATTAAGCCACCTGGTAACTTATTGATAGTGTTATATCATAATTTTATAATAGTTGAATTATTTGACTATGATCTTACAGACACCAGCGGCACTGGTTCTTCTCTTTTGGATATCTAGCAGAGTGTCTCCTCAATCTGAGTTTTTGGGCTGTCATTTATATTTAAACGAAAATACATGCTTTATTAATTTTCTGTAGAAATTGAAGAGAATTATTGCGCACAATTTCCTTTGTTCTTTAACAATTTGTCATTGCTGCCTCTCAAATATCTGACTATTTTGAGCCTATCCTTTTAGCTTACAAATATTTTTGCGATGGCATTATTTATGGTTGTGATGCAATGCATGATTGTTTAACGTTTTATTAATTGATTACCACTTTAAAAAGTGATAACCTATTTTGGTGAGTTAATAATAATCTCATCACGTGTTTATTTTTTATTTTCTTACATTTTTCCCTGCAGCTTGTAAAACTTCCTCGTTCACCCACTGTTGATGAAATTCTGACAAAGTACCTTGAATACAAGTCAAAGAAAGATAGCGCGTAAGAAATTATTGCTAAATAAAAATTCATATGCTCCTTTTCTACCATGGCTATCTATTTTTTTTTTGTTCATGCCATACATCTAGTTGTGGCTAATGATGAAGGCATCTACAATGTGTTTCTACAATACAGGGCGGCTGATGCAACAGGGGAAGTTTTGAAAGGAATAAGGTGTTATTTTGATAAAGCATTGCCTATGATGCTCTTATATAAAAAGGAACGCAAGCAATGTAATGAAGCAGTTGTGGACAGTGTGTCTCCATCAAGCATATATGGGGCCGAACATTTATTACGCCTATTTGGTATGTTCCTTACTTTTTCTGCTTTTAAGCATGTGCTTGGAAGGAGAATACCCTATGCGGGCACATGCACTTTCATTGTCTTGGGAAATACTTTTGTGATCCTTGTTTCTTTTGTGGGTTCTTTTGATTTAATATTAAAAGAGCGCGTTATTGCCTTTACTGATGGAAAATACAATTTTGGCATCTCAACTTGAAATTTTCAAGGGATCGCGGCTAGGAGTTTAGGTTTTGACCCTCCTGTTTTACTATTTGCTAAACAATCATAATTTTCTCCGGTGATTGCTGAATTTTAATGTGCCTTTGAAAATTTGACATCTTCAATGATTTTTGGCTAGTTGCAAGAGTTTTTAACAATTCTCTGCAGTGTTATTTATTTGTATTCTGGGCATTGAAACAATGAAGTATTCTTGGAGACAATTGATATATTTCTATTAAGGAGTGTAGTAGCATTTGAACATTGCTGCACAATACATACCTGAAGGAAGTTTCTTAAACGTATCTGGATAACTAGCAGATTTTTTCTTGTGCTTGCAGTTAAGTTACCTGAGCTTTTGGCATATGTGAACATTGAAGAGGAAACATTAAACCGCTTGCAGCTGAAAATTCTTGACTTTCTCAAGTAAACGTTTATACACATCTCATTGTATTTGGTATTAGATTCTATTGTGTAGACTCCTTACTGAAATGTGATAACTTTTTTTAGTGTCTTGATAAATACTGCACTATGCTCCTAGCTGAATTAATGTCAAAAGATGTCAAATAAATATTGATGTACTTGTTTTAATAGCCAATAAATATTGATGTACTTGCTTTAATAGCCAATAAATTCTGGCTTCATAAACTTGTGTACAAATTGATAATTGCAATAAATTCCACGGAATTGAACTATTAGACTTGTAGGCGAAGTGGAAATAACCACTATAAACTCACGCACACAACCATGAGAGTCAGAGTTCGATCCCTAGTTTTGGCTTCCAATCTAGTAATATTGGCTTTCGCCAGTTGAGCTAGGATTCGTAGACTATTATGACAGATATTAATATTACATAAAAATGCATGTTAGCCTATGTTATTCTTGCTTATATTTCTACCCATTATGGTTGAGATACATTGTTGTGTTCAGTTCAATAATATAAAGTTGATTTTAACTGTTATCTTTCTCTTGAATTTTGTTGCCATTGGTTTGATCAAATACACTCATTGCAGGTTCTTGCAGAAAAATCAAAGCACTTTTTTTCTCTCAGCATATGATGGGACAAAAGGAAAAGGGAAGGGAAGGGATGAATGAGAGACACTCTTGATTCCTAGTCTTCCTCATCTGTTGTATTCTTAATGATTGCCATATATATCTCTCCTTTGAAAAATTCACCGCAGGAAATCTGTTGTTGTAATAATAATATTGACTAATTCATTCTTTAATTTTTAAAGATTACACAATACTTGCAAATCAAAACATTTGATGTGCAAAATTTTGATGGCTTATTTAGATACATATTTCTTAACTGGTGTAAGAAGGTGGATAAAGTAGTAGCCTTCTATTTTTCACTAGGTTGCACTCAAACAAAGTTTGTCCCTGACCAAAGCACATAGTAAAAACACTTGGCCTTTTGGCTGTGTAACCAACTCTTTTCTTGAAGCCTAAGAAATGAAATATTCTTTGAAAGGAAGAAACTCTTTTACACTTCTTAAGTTCTAGTAAACTGGTAAACACTTGTAACTGTTTTACACTTGATGTATTTTGTACGTGGTACTTTTGTCAAAATTGATTTGGAAGAATCTCATTTAGATCTAGTGTACTTGTGTTGAGATCTGAATGTTTTGGAAACAACATATTTTGAGATTCAAACACATTTGGCGGCTAATGCCTAATGAAAAAAGTAACAGACTTCATGAATATTTTAATTTTATTTATTAAAGCAATACTCATTTTAAATAGAGAATATTGTTTTAAAATAAATGTTTTTATAGAATCATATAATTATTAATGTATTATTTTTAATTATTAATAAGATTAATTTATTATAAATAGTGTATTTTGATAATTTGTTACATTTTTTATTTGTGCAAAAAATCTCAAACACCATTTAATTTGATATAAGGTTGGAGCCGACCTTCAATTATTTGTATTTTAGATTGTGTGAGATTTTTTATTTTATAATAGAGAGTTTTTTATTACACTTTATATACTTATAATGCATATTGTGAATTTTCATATATGCTTTTAGGTTTCGAAGATATATTTTCAGGCACACATTTTTCATACTCAATTAAGGTCATTCTGAGTTACGCTCTATGCGTTGAGTTAGTTTTATTCTATTCTGAAGATATATATATCCATAACGTTTTAAGGAAAACATTTCAAGTATCCAATTCAGTGGATATTTCAGAGATACATCTCCAGAATTATTGATGACATTTTGAAATTTTCTATCACCTTTGTATGTCAGGTATTTTCGGAGATGCATCTCCGAAAATATTCGATATATTTGATATAACTTACAACTGCATGATCAGTCCTCCATTGTTGTCATGCTTCATTCTCAACTAAACCCTCACCCTAAATACCCTCATTCTTAATCCATTCTTTCGCTCCAAATCTCCATCCTTTTGGTTCAACATATCACATGGAGCAAAAGAAGATAGAATTTTAGGTAAAGATTGTTTTTTATTCTCTACATTGTTCACATTAATCATCAATTTTTTCTATAAAAAAAATTATGTTGCATTTCCGAAAATGTATCCTAGTGTCTGTCGGCTCAAACCTGAAGAGAAGGAATGTATTAGTGACACGACCTTGAATCTTGTTCAACCGAAAAATATTCTTGCAAAATTGAAGCAGAAGCGACCCGACAATATATAAAATATCAAGCAAGTGTATAACATTCAATACATCTCTAACAAGGCGATTAAAGGGGGATAGAATTGAGATGCAACAACTCTTAAAACTGTTAGATGATAACAGTTACGTGTCCCGGTACCGAATGTGCGATGATGGAGTTACAGTTAAAATATTTTTTGGACTCATCATGATTCTATAAAGTTGTTCAACACGTTTTCTATGGTGCTTATACTTGATACAACCTACAAGACCAACAAGTATAGACTTCCATTATTTGAGATGGTTGATGTTACCTCAATTGAGAAGACATATTCGGTTGGTTTTACGTTTCTTGAGTTTGAAAAAGAAAACAATTTTACTTAGGCATTAGAGGTGTGTCAGTCACTTTTTAAGGTCCAAGGTGAGATGCCTAAAGCGATTGTTGTAACACCATTTTCTACCCCACATTTATAATGGCAAATCAATCACATTTATCAGAGTAAAATATTAAACACAATAAAAATCACCTCAAAGGGCGTACATTTCTCAATAACTCAAATAAAAGTCAATGCTCGGTAAACAACGGGTTTTCCCAAAATTATTCAAAAGGCAGCGGACTCAAAAAGGTAAAAATCCAAAGTTTTCCTTGCGCAACAACGTAATCAAAATAACAATAATCAATAAAACATGGTTTAACTCAAAGACCCAAACTTGATGTTACACTATCAGAGCAAGACCCTCTAAGTCAACCAAAAGTCAATAACTCCAAAAAGTCTTCGACGACTAAACCTTGTCATCTGCACATTACCCACGTGGAGGTAACATTCAAACAGGCAAGGTGAGTAAAACGATTCATAATAATCAATATAGGAATCAATATATAAAATAGCGTCATTTTCATATTCAACATCATCATAATCATCAAGGAAACATCAAAAAGCCATAATATCATAAATTACACCAAATTGTCACATAAATGCAAATGCAACAAGACTCATGCATGTGGTACCAATTCATCAAAATTCGATGGACACTGGGCCATCAATCCTCCATAGATCCTCATCAATAGGATCGATTCTACACAAGAATCGAAGCATAATAAAATACTTCACATCTGCACAATGGGACTAAAACCACAAGAATCAAACACTAGACTGAAGTCCGGAATGCATATGAATGTATGATGCACACGTCAATATCATCCTCATAATAAACTCATTAGGTGCATCATCATTCATCAAAATCATCATAATAATCATGTCATCATATAATCATCAAAAACTCATGGAATCAACATCATAACTCATCATCATTACTCATAAGAATCATCATACAATCATGTATTAATCACATATGAATCATAGTCATACTCAAGGTAATTCATCTAGAAAATTACAGCATCAAAGCATCAAGACAACACTGCACTAGAACAAAATTCGCGAAACTCTACTACGTTCGTTGGACAGTTCATCGTGCGAAGGATCATTCGTTGTGCGAACTCGCGATTGCAGCAAAACACTGTTACACACCAGCACCAAAACTAGCCCAAAAGTTCCTACGATTTCCTTCCTCAATGCCCCAAAAACATCCCTCAATCATTCCTAAACTATTATGGCGATAAAGGCACAAAATCTACAACTTATTAGGCCGATCCCGTATCATATTTACGCCTCCAATTCCCATAAAATCCTTACAATTTTCCCACATTCATTAGAGTTCTCATAATCGATTACCCTATACGGTTAAAACCTCAACAACAGATTTTGGCCACGAAGGCCTAATTTCCCTTAATCCCAAATTAGCCTTAAACCTATCAGACCATCTGTTCAAATCCCTCAAACTCATTAAGCTCACTAGAAAGGCAACAACAATTAAATACTCAAAATTCCTAAACCCTTAAATCGGCTTTAAACACATTGAATCACATATTGAAAATAATGAAGGCAATGCTCCCCATATTTAAACAACCTCAAAAATAGATTTAGCCACGAAGGCCTAATTTCCTCAAACTCAAAAACCTCCTAAATCCTTAAATCGGCTTTAAATACATTGAATCATATATTTAAAACAATGAAGGTAATACTCCCCATACTTAAACAACCTCAAAAATAGATTTGGCCACGAAAGTCTTATTTCCTCAAACTCAAAAACCTCCTAAATCCTTAAATCGACTTTAAATATGTTGAATCATATATTGAAAACAATGAAGGTAATACTCCCCATACCTTAATTTGCCGACTCTAAACCTTTCTTCTTTGATTCTTGAAAACCTCGCGAAACTTTGCGTCAATCCTCTTCCCTCAGAGCTCTGACCTCTATTTCTTCCTTTTTCACGGTCTAACAAGAATGAATCCTAATTCTCTCAAAATTCCTTTTTGTTAAACCTAACTTTGAGCCTTTAAAATGGACTTTCCAATTTCACCCTCGCTAACTCCTCCTCAAATGTCCATTTTTCCCTTAATTCACTTATGTTTATTTAAATTAATAATAATACCAATATATTTATATTATATACTATTATTTAAATAAATAACTCAAAACTCCATAATTCCCAATATTCACACCAACCACCGAAAATCATCAAAAATACGAATATTCATATTTAAATAAATTAAATAAATATTGTAATAAATTTGGGGTGTTACAACTCTCCCTCACTTAAAAGAATTTTCGCCCTCGAAAATTACCTCAAGGAAACAGAGTCGGATACAACTCCCTCATCTGATCCTCACGCTCCCAAGTCATGCTCCCTTCAGTTGGTCCTCCCCAAACTACCTTTACTAAATCTCTTTACCTCGCAATTGCTTCACTTCTCGTTTATCAATCCGTACTGGCAATGCCTCAACAGTCAAATTATCTCTCACTTGTACATCATCCATCTGAATCACACGTGACAGGTTTGGAATGTACTTCCTCAACTGAGACACATGAAACACATCATGCAAATTCACAAGTGACGACGGTAAAGCAATCTGATATGCTACTTCTCCCACCCTCTACGAAATCTGATACGGACCAACAAAATATGGTGTGAGCTTTTGAGACTTCAAAGCTCGGCCAACACCAGTTACCGACGTAACTCTCAAAACACGTGATCTCCCTCTTGAAATTCAAGTGTTTTCCTCCTCTTATCATGGTAACTCTTCTGACGACTCTGCGAAAATTTCATCTTTTCTTATATCCTCTTGACCTTTTCATTCGTCTCTTGTACAATCTCAGGTCTGAGTACAACACTCTCGCCTAACTCATACCAATATAATGGAGTCCTACACTTCCTTTCATACAAAGCCTCATACGATGTCATTCCAATACTAGAATGATAACTGTTATTGTAGGTAAACTCAATCAACGACAAATGACTATCCCATGATCCACCTTGATCCAACACACAAGCTCTCAGCAAATCCTCTAAGGACTGGATAATTCTCTCTGTCTGTCCATTCGTCTGCGCATGATAGGCAGAACTCGAT